GCGGGGGCCGCCCCGCGGCGGCTGCTCGCAGCCCGGCAGGGCAAGCCCTGGTGCGTAGGAGAGGACCAGCCTCAGCGTCTCAGGAGGTCTCCAAGGAGCTGGGCCTCCTGGAAGCCGGTTTGCCACGAGCTGGGGTAGGGCATGGTCTAAGTGAAACGCTGTGCGAGGCTCGATGTGCGCCCGGCTTACCCGCTGCCGCGTCCTTGGACTGGCGTGAGGTGTTGGTTTGGAGGCACAGAATCCATTTGCCTGTAAGTGTGGACAAATATACATAGAATTCAGATTTTTTTTTTTTATAAGCACAATCATTAAAAAATATCCTGCTACTAAGACATCCGCGCTGGACCGTTTCAGTCTGGATCAGTTTTCTCCGTTGACTTCATCTCTCCGCCAGCAAACCGCAGTCAGCCCAGGGGCAGCGCTGCGAGGTCGGCGCCCGCAAATCTGCGCGCGCGGGTGGGGAAGTCTCCGTCGTCCTCAGCCTGCCGGTTCTCCTGGAAACCCGCTGGTCTTTCAGAAATGTGATTTGTTTGTAAGACAGTTGCATTTCAGTGAAAGCTAAGCTGAAAAAAACCCGACACCTGGAAAACGTTTCGCTTTATTTGCCGGTCTTTTCTCCCTTTTTCCTCACTCTGGTTTTTTCCATGACAAGATGAAAAGGGGAAAGAAGAAAGAAAGAGAGAGAGGTAAAGGAGAGAAGAAAACACCAACAGAAAAATCATCAAAATCTTGGTAACTAAAACTTTCTCATACAGGTTTTCTTGAAGCTTTGGCAAGAGATGCAAGCATGATTTTTTAGAAAAACATGCTGGAAAAGCACTCGGGGAGTAATTATTTTAAATAGTAAATTTGTGAAAGCTCTTTGCCGTATTTTGGTTAGCTCTTTCAGCTGAGGTCGGGCCTTCCCCGTTGCCTTTTCCACCTGAGTTTGACCGTGAGGACAAGCACCTTATGGATGACATCAACCTTGGTGTCCCGGTGCTGCGGCCAAGACACGTCCGGGTCCAGCCCCACCGCCCCCTCGGAGCTCAGCCTGGTTAGCAGGGGGAAGACGAATTACAGGCAGCAAAACGCGGGGCAGCCCTTTTTCTCCTTTGGATCTGTGGTCTGGCAGGCGATCCCCGTCCTGGGAGCCAGCGGCTGTGGGCTCCGCAGCTGCCGAAGACGGCGGATCAAGGCTGGATGCTCTTCTTGAAGGGCGCATCTGGATCCTCTCCTCGCATCCTGTGTCAGGCCAAGAATTAGCTGCCTCCAGGTCACGCAGGGGGTTGGAAAGGTGAGGGCTGGTTCCTTGGTCCCAGCCTCATCCAGATGTGAGCCACCTCTGCCTGCCCCTTCCTGGGCTTACAAGCTCTGCCCGTTACGGCCAGCCCGTAACGCCGGTCCCTGGGGAGGGGGAAGCTGGAGCAGATGGGCTGGCTGGGTGCGGCCCCGGGGCGCCCAGGAGAGCCGGCCCCCTAAGCTGCGCAGCCGTGAGCGATCGCTCTCCCGTGCCGCACGCAGGCGGGGTGAACGGCATCCCTGGGGCACATTTTGCCAGAAAAGGTAAAGGAGAGGGCGGCTTTTAGGGCTCCCCAGGTCAGGCTGGTTGCACAACGAAGCCAAGTTGCTGCCCGTCTCTCCCTACCGTGAACAGGAGGAGACTTCAGGCCATTAACGGTCGTGGTGCCTGGATCTCATCCTGGCTCTCTGCCCAGGGACAAACAGTGGGAGGTGATAGGGGATGTTACCAAAGCTTTTCTTTGGCTTTTTCAGCTAGAAGTTATCACTCATGGTCCTCTCCCTCTCCTCCTCATCGCGCACCCATCTCTAAGTGACCCCACCTCAGCCTTCTTTCCCTTTCCGCACACATCTCCCCACCCCACGTTTCCACCCGAGACAAACGGCCGTAAGTCACTTGGTTTTCCTGCGAGGAAATGAAAAGCCCTATCAGGATCTGAATCCCCTTCCTCCAGGGGCCACCTGGACCAGGGGACGGATCGGCGTGGCTCAGGGGCTGTGTTCAGAGCTAGTCCCAGGGGTCCGTGAAATGCTGCAGCTCCTTCCAGGTGGGTTATGAAATGAAGGCAAAAAACATTTGAAGCCCAGCCAGGAAACGGCCATGTGAGGGAAACGGAGGGGTCCCACCGTCTCGGCACCGCGCCTTCTCCTCTCGGCCCCGCCGGTGGCGTGGCTTTAGGAAGAGCTGTACTTGTTACTCAAGCGGGAGCTGCTCCGGTCCAGCCCAAGCTCCTGCCCAGTGGCTTTCCACTTCCCAACGGAGCCCTTCTCGTCCGTCGGCGTGATGCTGAGAGCCGGTCTCTGGCACCAGCAGCACAGGCAGGACTGCAAGGAGACAAGAGGGTGGAGAGAGAGGTCACAAATGTGTGTTATAGGGTAAAAGAGGAGGAAATACTCCCTTACTGATGTTGGCAAGTCAGCCTGCGCAGTGCCAGGCTGGGAATCATGGCCTGCGCTTCTGAGCCTTGCTGTCCTGCAGATCTGCTGGGAGCAGGTTCTCCAAGATAGGGCTGGTTTAGGTTGGAAATGAACGTATTGAAAGCTTGGGTGCCTTTTGCAGTTGTGCTTTCTTGTCCTTGGGGGACAGAAAATACGGGTAATGCTTAGCTAGGCTCAGCTCCTCTGTGCCAGAGCAGACTTCCTTTCCATCCCTTTCCATCCCTTTCCATCTCTTTCCATCTCTTTCCATCCCTTTCCATCTCTTCCCATCCCTTTCCATCCCTTCCCATCCCTTCCCATCCCTTTCTATCTCTTCCCATCTCTTTCCATCTCTTCCCATCCCTTTCCATCCCTTCCCATCCCTTCCCATCCCTTTCTCAGGGCTCCATTACTCCTGAAAATTATCTCTGAACAGCTTGGGCTCACAGTTCAAAGCAGCCCCAGTCCCCGGTCTGATGGCTTGTGGGGATGCTTCTGATCCAGAGCGACAGGGACTTTTTTTGCCTTGTCCTGGACCCTGCACTGGCAGAAGCCTCCCCATAGCAAGGCCACGAGCTCTGGTGGACTTCAAGCTGGGATGAGAGGGGTCTAGCAGGGGGAAAACTGGGGAGAAATCTCATCAGTCCATAAGCAAATAGGGTGATGCTGTGTGTCCCTGATGGGGCATATGCCTGGGAGCCAGGAGCTGCGAGGTCCAGACCCATCTCTGCCGTTGCTTGCAGGGTGCGTTTGCCAAACTGCTCTCCACCTTTCCCTTTGTCTCGTGAGCAGAGAAGTCCACTGCGATGGGGGCTGCACCACACCTGGTCCATGGGAGCTTGTGCCCCTGGGACCAGTGTCTGGGACGGGTCACCATAACCAGGAGCTCAGGAGGGGTCAACCCTACCTGGAAGCAGTTCTTGAATTTCCGGCTGACAAAGTAGAGAGCCACAGGGTTGATGCAGGAGTTGAGGGAAGCCATATTGATCCCGAAGTAATCCATCACTAGGAGGAAACTGAGGCAGGAGGGGAAAGAAGAGGGTGGACGTGTTGGAAACCCACAGAGAACTGAGGGAGCGTTTCCATACTGCCTGCCAACTGACCACAGAGGTGAACACAGAGCAGTCCCTCCCGCGGCTGGGCACTTGCACAACACCTTTGCTCGCGAGGAGAATTTCCTGGAGAAACCAAGAGCGTGAGACCTGATTTCCCCGGGGTGACCACGGTGTTCTCAAACTCAAACACAGGAGCGGTGTCTGGCCTGAACTGGGTTTTGGTGTGGTGGGTAAAGAGGAGAGGGGAAGACAGGCACCTACCATGTGGCAGAGCCCTCGGACATGCTGCAGTCCCTTTAGCCCTGCGGGGAATGTTTCTCTGCCCTGGAGACCTCTCTAACCCATAGTTTTATGGACACATTGCAAAATTTGATTTCTTCTTTTCTTATGGTCCCCCAAACCCTTTCTCTGTGCCTCTCAGGAGAGCAGTGCTATCTAGAAAGGAGCTATTGCAAGAAGAAGTTCGGAAGGCAGCTCCACCAGCCTGCAGTGAGCCCAGCAGAGCCTCTGCCGGTGCCCGCAGGGCGTCCCAGCATGGTGCCCTCCTCCTGATGCCCCTACCTGAGCAGCTCACATCTGTTGGGGTCTGTCTGGTCATAGATGGTCTTTTTGAGGATACGGCTGAGGTGGAGGGGCAGCCAGCAGAGAGCGAAGATCACCACGAGGCAGAACACCGTCTTGGCCACCTCCCGGCGCTGCGAAGAGAAGGGGGGAAGGGGAGGAGGGACGGTCTGAACACTGGAGAGCGGGTGCAGCAAAGCACCTTCTCCCCATGCTTAGCAAGGGCCCTTCAAGTAATTTCTGTAATCTGATGATGGCTGGGCACCCCTCTTGAGTCCAAAGCACAACCTGCAGGTCCCAAACCCTGCATCGTGAGGAGGACTCGGAGCTCCAGGCTGCAGAAAGGGGTAGGACGCCTAGCAGCACAATACGGACCAGAGTCCTTCACGCCCCTTCCCACCATTGCTCCTGGTGACTTTGCTGGGGGGGTACTCCCTGGGACACGGGGGCCTCATCCACCCACCCTTCCCACCAAGTTATTGTGACAACGAACTGGCCAGCCTCAAGGCATCCTTCCACAAAGCACGGGAGGGGACAGCAAACTATTCTTGTCCCTGCACCCTTTGTCTGTGAGGTGGCACAGTCAGCGTTTGGTCCAGGTTGGAGTGATCTTGGCTGGCACAGCATGGCCGGGGCGTAGATGACCATGAGAAACTGAAACTCCAGCTGGTCCATGGCCATAAGGCTGGTGGTTTGGGTTGTCCCTGAGACTGGAAGTTGTAGAGCTGAAGGCCATCTCCCTGGTTGGCGCCCATGCATCTGCATCTGCCAATTCCAGTTGACCACTGCGAGGCTATGTCAGCTGATACGTGTCCTTTACAGGGACAAATGCGTGTTCTGCCCTTCGACAGCACTCCCTCCTGTTCAGGAAATACCAGAGATTCTGCCCTTCTGGTTTTCTTACCCGTTTCATGTGGTCATTCAGAGCGATTCTCATGCCGTTCCTCTTGCTCAGCATCTCGCATGACATGAGGGTGTAGAAGATGCCGGTGCATACCAAGGGGAGGCAGAAATAGAAGCCAAAAAGCCACCAGTCCTTCACATCACGGTAGAACTGCGTGCAGAAGAAAGAGCAACTGGAAACTGGGGAAAGGAGAGGTGGGGGAGTGTAACTGGGGCATGAACCAGCCCAGCCCCTGACGCTGGGGCTGGCCTGTATCAGACACTTTGAATGTGTGAAGGTGTAGCAGCTCCCGTGCTAAGTGCACATGGGATTATCTTCCCCCAGGGCTGGTGCACATGTTTAACCTAACGAAGTGAAGGCTGGTTGACATCTGGCTGCCAGTCCATTCTAGCACTCGTGTGCAGGAAACGTTTGCAAGGAGCTTATTTGGTGGACACCATGGGATAAGTTGTGATGCGTTGCAAGGGTCTTCATTCCCTTACTCGCCCTGAGCTGACCCTGTGATAAAGGTTACCCGTGTAGGCTGGTTGTGGAGACACTCTTTGGGCTGCTGGGACAGTGTAGCGTGTTCTGAAGCTTCCCCAGATGCGTCATGACCTTCTGATGTGGACGGTGAAGACACCACACAGCTTAAGGTCCAGCTGCCTGTTTTCTGGCCCCACATTCAAAGCTAGTCTGCCCCACATCACTACAATGCTGGGTCTTCCGTGCTTTGTTTGATGCTTCTTTCCCTGTGTTCGCCCCAATGGCTAGAAGAAGCCATCTACAGACGCACCAAATCCTCTAATCAAGGAGGGACGATGCCCTGGTTGCCTGTGTCTCCCTCTCCCTTGCCCTGCAGCTGATACGGGGCAGAGTACCTACCATCATGAAGCTGGATTTCTGTTCAGAAGCGAGCATGCACACCCAGAGGTGTTGCTCCCAGTAGCTGAGCTCCACCATGTCAAAGGCTATAGCTTCGGGGACTGCGAGCACAATGGCCACTGCCCAGATCACTATCACCTCCACCGCCTTCCACATGGGGATTCCTATCCCCTGGATCCGACTCCACGATGCCACCGCTCGGTACCTGCCCAACGTGTGGGAACACAACAAGAGCAGGTTGGAGTGAGAAAGCAACCATCAGGAAGGGGCTGAGAAGGTACAGGTTAGAGTGGTCCCCAAAGGCCCTTTCCCTCGCCTTGCTCCTCCACCCCTGAACCTTCCCCTTCAGTGGAGTGGGAAAGATCAGAAACGGGCTCGATGGATGAATGTGATGGTAGCTACCCTTGGCCAATGTCTACCTGCCGTTGAGGAGGTGCCACCCCTCCCCACCACCCCAGCAGTTGTTTCGGTACATCATAATCCCTCAGCCTTTTCCAGCAGGATTTAAACTCTGTGACCAGAGTCAGTTCCTGCTGGATTTCAATTCTGCATGACAGCACCCTGTCCCCATCTGTGAACTTGACCTGGCACCAAGCTGCCCTGCAGTCTGCCTTTTGGTGACAATGATGGGACGTTCTATAGTCAGATATGGGTCAGACTGGGCAGTGCAGCTGTAGAAGTGGTTTCTTACCTGTCGATGCTGAGAGCGCAAAGGCTGAGGACTGTGATGCCCACTGAGGCCTTCTGGATGAAGGGGACCAGCTTGCACACCTGCACGCCAAAGGGCCAGTCCTTTGCCAAGAGCTGGGGGAGAACCACAGGGTTAACAGGCTGCTTCAGGAAAGCGTGTCCGGCTTCCCGGAATAGCAGGTGGTTACCCACAAGGTGTGAGAAGCCCACAAAGAGCAGCTGAAAGCACTCTGAGGTTACCCCTGCCACAATCACGCAGTGCGTGCTCTCCAGTATGGTGTGTCGTGCTGGGAACCATTCGTTTCCCCAAGGACTCGCTGTGAGATGAGCTGGCACGCAGATGGAAGAATGGTCCAGACACCAGGTCCTGGCTCCGGACCCTGGGTGGTTTTGAATGGACCTGAATCCTAAATGCTGCAATGGGCTTTGGGTCACTTCCAGAGGGAAAATGGGTATCACTCTCTGAAACACCTAAAATCCATGAAGGACAGCTTCTTTCAGGTGGCTTTCACAGTCATGTAGTCTGAAGCCCTTACCATACTCTGACCCTCTACTACACTGAGATTCCTTATAGAACGCATACATTGTGGCCCCAAGATCAGCTGGGGCAAGCAGAGGTCATCGGTAAGGAACAAGGTGTCCTGAAGGTGGGAGAAATCCAGGCCACTCACTCAAGAGGATGACCTGATATCCCCTTGACACCTGGAGCCCATACTAAGCCTACCCCTATTCAGAACCAGCCCTCTGTGCAAGCTCTTTAGTTTGGCCTCAGTAGCAAGACAAATCAATCCAGAAGCTCACCTGGAAATCAAGGTCTCAGATGGAGGCAGCTGACCAACCCTACCCTTTCCTTTGGTCTGCAAACCTGGGTAGTTCACCCGTCTCATCTGTTACTGTGTCAGAAGGGTGACACACCACGAGGGTACTGGGCTACTCTTAGGACCAGGTTGCTCACAGTCAGTTTGGGCTTCTCAAACAAGCAACAATTTCTCCTCCAGGAGGTGGCTGGAAGCAAGAGGAGCAGAAGGGAGAGGGGTTGCTCGGGTGGCCCTAGGGAAATCCTGAACATCAATCAGGAAATGTCGGTGTAGATGTGGCCAGAGCAGGGAGTCCCGACCCTGGAGATTTGACCCAGTTTTCCTGTTACAAGGCAGGCAACACCAATGCAAGATGTTGCGCTTAGCCTGGACAAAATATCCTGACTTTGCTTTGTGTTGGCTGCAAGCTGTGCTAGTTGCGTCTCCAAGAGACGGCCAAATGCGCCTCCAAGCCAGCAGCTTGTGTCAACAGCAGGTGTCAACAGCAGCCTGTTCTCTCTAGTTTAGGGGGCAGTGTCTCTGAAAGAAGCCCCTGTTTTATAACACAGCCCTCTTCCTTGCTCCTGGATGAGTCTTCACGCTTAGCTAGAATAAAAAAATACTTGCTTGAGGCTGAAGAACTGAACTGTGCTGGGAGAGGTGTCCCCAGTGCCCGAGAACAATGATTTTTGTTCAGCTGAAGTAAACATGGGGTTGTAATGTCAGGAGACTGCAAGCGTTCTCTTCTTGTGATTTAAACGAGTTTGAGCAGATCTGGAAGGTTGTGTGTGCGTGTGTGTGTGTGTGTGTGCACGTAACGCAGCTGTAGCTGAGAACACCTCTGCTTTCCCAGGAATGAACCTGTCGTGGTTTAACCCAGCAGCCAGGGACAGAGCCAGGGCAGTTCTCTGGGCTTTTTATCTGTTCAGGTTTTTCTCATCCTTTGGAGAGCAGGAACACCCTCCCCCTCTCCCTGGCAAAAATGGAGCCTGCAGTAAAGAGCAGAGGGTAAATATTCCCCAAGACACCGAGGCCGGTGGGAGCAGATGCCATCCCTGCTGCTGTGGCACTTGTGCCGCGTGGAGCCTACCTTATAGACATTGATGGGCAGAGCAATGAGGATGTAGAGAAGGTCTCCGAGGGCCAAGCTAGCAATGAGGACATTTGGCCCATTCCTCATGCACTTGTTCTTGTAAATGATCCTCAGGAGCGTGGAGTTCCCGATGATCCCGACTATGAAGATGGTGCAGGACACGATGGTGTTGATGTACTTGAAGATGTGTCTGATGTCTGCAGGCTTCACGCACAAGGGCAGCAGGGGTGGCTCAGAGCTGGTGCTCCTGGGGAGGGTCTCTGAGTGGTTTGAGAACTTGGCATCCTGGAGCAGGCTTGACTGGACCAGGCTGTAAGCCTGCTCCTGGCTCAGCACCTCGAAGGGGACGGTGCTCTCCTGGAAAGCCCTGGGGGTCTGGCCATGTGCCCCACAGAAGAGGCAAGTCAGGAAGATGGCGAGGGCAGTGGGAGCCAGGGTTCTCACCATTGAGGACCAAATGGCAAAGCTGGGTGCAGAAGTCCTTGCAGGGCTTGTGGGACGTCCTTGCTTGGGTCCTGGTTGGATCTGCAGATGGAGAAAGGGACGAAGGAGGGAAACTGATGACCAGAGGAAGGAGGAACAGCATGAGACTGAACAAAAGCAATTGCTGAAGCAGGTCCATCATCACAGCGATCAGAAATCATGCCAGATTAGATCCTGTCTGGTCAAAGCAGCTGACCCCTGTGGGTGGGAGATCTTTGCTGCTAAGATTAAGCATGCCTGTTCAGAAACACAAACTAAAAGGAAAACAAGCAGTCTCTTACACATCTCGCACAGCATTTCAGCAAACGAGGAGACCTACCTCTTCTCAGATAGGTGTGGTGAATCACCTATTGCACCTTCTGAGGTTGGCAGTGCTGCTCACCCAGCAAACCCGACTTCTCCGCCCAGCACAGCCTTTTGTGCCCACCCCACACGTCTCATTTAGCTTCTGACTGTTTGAAGAAGCGGTTTTGGGGCACCTGCCCTGTAGAGGCCTGCACGTCTGGGCGGTTCTGCCAACCCCGTCTCGGGGTCCACACAACCAGCGGACTCTTCCTTCCAGTTCGTGCCATGGGAGAACTGGAGCAGCACCAACATCCTGCTCTTCAGCAGATCCCATGGGCTGCCGTGCGCCAGCTTTCTTTGCAAAGTGAAAAGACTCAGCACGGTCTTGCTGGGAACCATGATGGGAAAACACTACGAGGGCTTTTCCAGAAATGCTGTATTGATACCTGACATCTTACTGCAATTTATGCGCGAGCAGCACAGAACCTCCTTCCCCATCCTTATCGTCGTTAATTGAACCATTTCCTTTCCAAACCCACCGTGCCCGTTCAGCTCACTACTCGGGGATATAAATCTCCCTGTGCTGTTTGCAGTTTTGACTGCTGAGCACGGTAAAAGGCCTCTCCAGCTCACCAGGGCTGGAGCGCTGCTAATAAATATCGCCGGGACGGGTTCTGCTTTGCAGATCTCAGACGATGCTTTCGGGCAGGACTAGCTGAGCTGCTGCTCCACAACCGCAGGAGAAAGCTGGGGACGGCTGTAGCGCTGTCCTGGCACGGTGTGAATTTGTGGAAGGGGCTTCTGGATCATCCAGACATGGTCCCCAGTGGGAAGCAAGCCCAGAGAGGGAGCGGAGGGTGTCAGCACCCTGCCAGTCTGTGCCCAGCACTCCCCATGCCGCAGGCAGGGACGTATCTCGGGTCTCCTGCTTACAGCGGGCGAAGAATATGTTTCTCAAACTATGAAACTTTAGAGCTTTGAAAGGAGGAGAAATTGCTGAGCTTAGACTGAAAGCTGGAGACTTTGGGGGCTTCCCTGGGAAGTGCGGTGGTCCAGGGGAGCCGGCTGGGCAGGGATCGGGCTGTCTGCCCGGGATTAGAGATGGGACTTCAGTCTCCACTCTGACTCCACTGAGCCCAAACCAGCTGTACCCCGTGATCTTCTCCCCAGGACCACCCAGCCAGGGCACTCCTGGGCTTGTAGCACGGTTCCCCCTGCCCCGGACCGGGGGGACCCCAGGACCAGCAGTGTGTGTGTGGTGGGAGCATGCTGTTCCCACTCTGGGAAGGCACGGCCAAACCAACCACGAGTCCCGCTGGGGACAACAATACCTTCTCAAGATACAGCTGTGCATTCCTCATGTGCCAGGGGCTCAGGCCAGGCTTTGTAGAAACATCTCTGCCCTTCTGCTGTTTGGAAGACTCCGAGCATCATCAGCATGAAGGTGGAGGCTGTCCCAGCAAACCAGCCTCGCCAGACCTACCCAGTTCTCAGTCTCACCCTACTGCTCTTGCCAGAAAATCTAAATCAGGCTCAGTTCTTCCTGACCCTCTTACGTCCTTCGGTCGGGTCCTTAGTACGTTAAACTGTAAACAAGCAGTGTTAGGAGGGAGCCTAAAATATGTTCCCAGTGACGTGTCAAAGCTAGGCAATAAAATAACCAAATCCCTTCAATCACAGTTTAAACATCATGAAATAGAGAGTGAAGTTTTCGGTTCTGTTAAAACAACCACATTTTAAAGATGTTGCTTTTCTAGTTTGAATCCTTACAGCGGCACCTTGGGTACAGTTTCACCGCAGGAAAGTGAAATACGCCATCACTTTCCTTTTCAGCTCGCTATAAGCGTGCTTCTGTCTGCTGAAACATTTGTGCCTGGAGCTTAGCAGCCTTGTGTGTTCTCTGTGCCTTTTCTCTTTGCAGACTCAAACAGCTTTGCAAACTTATCTAGCAGATAAGCCGCATTGGTGTGAGCCAGAACAGGCACTATGAAGTTATACCTGCTGGCCTCCGGCTGAAAAAAGAGAGCGTTTAGAGAAGAGTCTCCATACGATGGTTGGGAACCAACCCGTATCTGGCCTGCAAGTGCCCTGCTCTCAAAGGTCTGTAGTTCTCCCATCATTGAGGGGTACCTGCAGGTGGGATACCTTCAGAGATGCATTGGTCAAAGCTGAGGACTGGTAAAGTTGTCACCAGTCAGTGTGCGTGGAGGAATGTTCCCACCTGCTTGCTGGAACAATCCTAGTCCTTGGTGGCTACGAAAGTCCTGGTACCCTCCCTGGTCTCAACATATCCCTAATCAGCTAGTTGACAAATCTGGGACCTGGTGACCACAGAAAAGCTTCTCCGGCACCACCTTCTTCCTGATATTTACCTAAGTATCTGCTCCAACTGCTGTCTTGGAGACAGCTGGTCAGGGTGGGCTTTGCTCTGACCTGTTCTGATGTTGTTCTCAGCTGTGACTCCTGGTCAGGTGCTAGGTAGCTGGCTGTGTCGGGAAGGGGGGGAGGAAAGGAGGGGAGAGAACGGATAAATAACCTGAAGGAGCACCAACCTGGCTCATTGGGGCAAATCCCTGCAGGGACTTTAGCCTGCACCCTGGCTAAGGTCCTCACCTCTTCCTCTTGCCCCAGGCTGCACCAGGGGCAGCTGTCTCATGGGTGGGTGCCCTGACCAACACCCTTCTCTCCTCCCCGCTGTGCCCACCTTTGTTTTGGGGGGCTCATAGGAGAGGGCAAACCCAGCTCAGAATTCCTGCCTGGGATCCTTGAGGGACTGAGCAGCTCACAGGGAGCAGCTGTGGATGGCACAGACAAGTCTCTGCTGTCTGGGGTCTTGGAGGAAGACGGTGGCTCCTCAAGTCAGGAGCTGACAGAGGGGTACCAGAGCATCCCTGGGAAGCCATGTCCTGCGGCCTCTGCAGCAGAGGGCTGCTCCTATCTGCTCCCCCTGGTGCAGGACCACAGAGCCTGGCGTGGCCACTCAGCCCCTGGGGGTTTGGCAGAAGAGCTCATGTGAGTAGGGATCACAGGACACGGCTCACTGGGTCCTGCCCATCCCTCCACAGCACAGCCGCGAAGCACTGAAGAAAAAAGCACTTCTCATCTTGCCTTAAAATCTAGCAATTTGGTGAAAGAGAAGCATTGTTTTCTCCTCTTCAGCCCACTTACTTCTTGCCCTTGGTGCTGCAAGTCACATCTCGGAGAGCTTGAAAGCATATCCCTTTCTCACTTGTGGGGGAAACTGAGGCACGGGAGCGTCAGGAGGCTTGTTCAGTGCCCAGCAGATGTGAAGCCAAAGCCAGCATCGCTTGACCCAAAATACTCTGAGCTTTGTTCCTGTTGCTGATCACCTGGGGAAGCGACTTGGTGCCCGCAGGGGCCATCCCCACCCCACCTGCCCGGCTGGGGCATGGAAGTGGAAATGCCCTTTATGCTGTGCTGAGTCCAGATCACAGCTGAAACCACCGGAGTCATGACACAGACACCAGAGAATGACTCCCAGGGAGGAGATGAGACTGAAAAACATTGCCATAACCCCGCAGAGCCTGCTCCTGTCTGCAAGGGTAAGGAGGCTCAGGATTCCCCCTGCCTGGGAGCCCAGGAGAGCCGACCTCATCCCCGGAGGACCCCGCGTCTCATGCCAGCCTCTCCCACCACGACGCGCTGCCTGCAGCAGGGCAGGCTGCCCTCGAGAGCAGCTCCACGCACGTTCTCCTGCCGGAGTAACCTCGCCAAACGCAAGCCAGACCTTTTCTGCAGATAAACATCTCTTGCTGCAAAAATGCCATGGGTGGGGGAAAGGAGGGAGAAAGGCAGATGAGAACACCGCACCCCCAGCTGCTTCCCTGACCGGAACCTGACCTGGTCCACAAGCAGAGGGACCTTTCCCGCAGAGGTGTGCTGGGTTTCTTCTCGTGGACTCTCTCCCTGCCCATTTGTTAGACCTCGCTCAGGCACCGTGGTCCCTTCTGAAAAACGTGCAAAAACTCACCCCGAAACAGGAAAGCATTTTGTTTGCAAATTAGTGCATGGAACAGCAAAGCTTTTCGTTGGAGTTAAGTTACCTTCCTCGTAACCATGAACTTTGGATGTTCCTGGGGTCGGTTTCTCTCCCTCTCACGGCTCCTTCCCACCACACGGGCAGCTGGGCATGTCCTGCAGACCCTGGGAGAACGGCAGCGCTGGAGATCCCGGAGTTTGCTGCTGTGTCCGGGCTGGTGCTCAGGGGAATGTTTCTCGCCTCTCGTGACTCGCGGAGGTCTCTCCAAATGGAGCAATTGGTTATATAGAAAATCGCAGGGCTCCCCCTGAGCGCAGCCCCTGCAGCCAATAGGCGAGGCGTGGGACGGGGATGGAGGAGGAGGGCAAAGCAGAAGAAACGCGGGATGGCTCCGTGAAGGAGATGAAAATAATAAACAAATAAAGCTGGAGGGGGAGGGAGGGAGCTGGGGGAAGGCTGCTGACCACAGAGCAGCGTGCCTGCTTGGAACGTAGTAGTGACGGGCTAGGAGGAGCCCCGTGGCTGTGCTTGGGTGAAGGAAGCCACAGCCCTGACCACACGTGGGGAAAGGAGGCATCAAAGCCCTCTCTGCCCGGGGTGGGTAAAGCCAGCTGCTCCACCTGGAGCTTCTGAGGAAGTGTTCAGGAGCAAGAGGACTACTGCAAGCAAGGCAGAGGGGACCTGTGGTTTCCATTCTAGCAGAGAGGACAGAGTATAGGAAGTCCTTATGGAGGTGCTGGGGAAGGAGAAGCCTCCCTTTTCCCGGTAACCTCAACTATAGAAGCTCACATTAAAATATTGTTGTACGTATAGCCCGTTCCAGCCTTTTTTTCTGAGTGAATCCAGACACAAGAATAGATTAGACTCCCTCTCACCTTGAGACCTGGCCAAAGATGCGAATGAGGAGTTGACCAGCCTAGCTCTTCTCTGCGGTGAAGATTTGTAAATAGGGTAGAGATAATCTGTGTTGGTTGTTTGGGAGCTTTCTTCCTTCTTTGTGTGAAAGCAAATTATCTGTGTTTCTCCACTGAAGCATTTCCACGATTTCTTGAAGACTTGATGAATCAGAGCTGTGGATAACCCATAGAAAAGTTATGCCTTTATTTACTGCAGGCCCTTGTTTATCGGAGATGACTCCTCACTCAGAATAGTGGAGAACAAAACCTCCATTCAGACTCTGCTCTCTTCATCCTAGCAAGCGTCCCAGCCTGGAGAGCCCATCTTAGGGGTCTGGCATCCCCCCATCTCTCCATCGCTGCTCAGGTCTTGGCACATGCCTGCTCTGCAGACAGAGATGTGATAGCACGTGGACAGACGTGTCCCCAACAGCACTTTGGTCTCACCAGCTCGGGTGCCAGAAGCAACACACGTGACAGGCTGGTGTGGAGGGATCTGGTTTTCTTGTTTTGTTTTTATTTTTAAGTTGATTGTTTGATTTGTAACTGTCACTTTATGGTTTTTTTGGGGGGAGTAGGATGCTTATGGAGTCTGCTGGAGGATCCTGTTTCTCACTTTCTTAGCTGACATTGCCATGTAGTGTTTAGGCTTGGCCATTTTGCTTTCTTTTCTCCAGCTTCAATCTTCCTTGCCCATCTTGTCTTGGCGTGTGGCAGACCACATGAGCCTCTGAGGATGGAACTGTAGGGTAAAACCAGCTAGTGGTCTGGGCTGGATGGGTACAGCCCTTCTCTGGCCTCGCTTCAAGGGCAGCCAGCTGGTCCCCCCCCTGTTTTGGTCAGTGGTGCTCAGAGATGTCTCCAGCATACAAGCAAGTGTCTCAAAGTTAACTCTGGACCTCAGAGAAGCGCTTCTGTACCCTGATGGATGGCTGTGACATGGAGGCTGGGCCTTCAGTCTGGCCTGGGGTGGGAGCAAACAGGTTCATTACCAACTAGTGTCTTTGCAGGGCATCAGGAGGTGACCTCCCACCGTTCCCTAAGTGTGTCTGCCCCTCTGCATGCTTCCACTCCCTGGGCAGATCAGGAAATATGCACCTCACATAGCTCATCTCGTCCTAGGGCAGAAGTCACAGCGCATGGGTTGGTGCCTCCTTGAACCCTTTGGCCAGCTTTTCCTTGGCTCTCTTCCCAGAGCACACGATTCCGCATGGCACCTCTCCTCCCGACCCCACTGGGGAAGTATCCTGCAGTCCTATTCTGGGACAGTCATGTTTCTGCATGTGACAGAGGGATGAATGGACCTTTCTGTTCTGCTGGAGACAAAGATCGGCTCCAGCCCCCTTCGGAGACCCCAGGAAAAGAGCAATCTTCTTGTACAGTCAACTAGTGTCCTGGAGACACAATTCAGTTTCAAGGCTGACGTTAAGGGTCACTTAAACTATCAGAATGAAGAGGCTACTTCTGAATTAAGCCACGGCACAATCCAGCAATGCAGCATCGTGCAGGCAAGCAACAGCGTCCTGGGATCCGTTTCGCACAGGCTGCCCTTCCATTTAGAAGATGACAAGTCAAGGAGAATTCATTTGGCTTTCTGCTGCTGTTTGTGCTTGACTGATTCCCACGC